TTTATCGTAGAGACGAGGTCTCGTCAAGTTGCCCAGAGTGGTCTTGAACCCCTGGGCTCAAGCAATCTTCTCGCCTCTGCCTCCCAAAGTGCTGGGATTACAGGTGTGAGTTACTGTGCCTTGCAAGATTCACTATATTAACATGTGAATTCCATCATAGAAATATTCTACTCTGGCCAGGTGCAGTGGCTTACGCCTGTAATCCCAGCACTTTGGGAGGCAGAGGCAAAAGGATTGTCTGAGTCCAGGGGTTCGAGACCAGCCTGGGCAACTTGGAGAGACCACGACTCTATAATAAATAAAAAAATCAGCTGGGCATGATAGTGTGGGCCTGTGGTTCCAGCTATTTGGAAGGCTGAGGTAGAAGGATCGCTGTGAGAATGCCACTGCACTCCAACCTGGGCAACAGTGAAACCCCGACTCAAAAAAAAAAAGAAGGCTGGGCACAGTGGCTCATGCCACCAAAGAAAAACAACAAAAAAGAAACATACTACTCCATTAATTGGAGGCTGCAGAGCTATAAGAATACCAAAACTAGTCAAGGTGACAGGGGTATAGGTCCGTCCCAACCTGATCATTTAACAGAAGGCTCTTTCTGTCCAAGAAAGGGTTGGTCTTCTGCTAGTAAAAGAGCAGGCAAAGAGCAAGAAGCTGTCACTGAGCCAGGCTCGGTGGCTCAGCCTGTAATCCTACGCTTTGGGAGGCTGAGGTGAGTGAATTGCCTGAGCCCATGGGTTCAACACCCGCCTGAGCAACTTGGCAAGACCTCATCTGTACAATAAATCAAAAAAATTAGCCGGGCATGGTACAGCCGCGCCTGTAGTTCCAGCTACTTGGAAGGCTGAGGTGGAAGGATCACCGGACCCCAGCAGGTCAAGGCTGCAGTGGCTGGGAACGTGCCACTACACTCTAGTCTGGGCGACAGAATGAGACTCCAACTCAAAAAAAAAAGAAGAAGAAGCTGTTGCTGTGTCTCTTGCACCAGACTGAGGAGAGGGAATGTTGGCCAAAGTGAATACCTGGACTGCATGGTAATCAGTGTCTCTTCATAGTGAAGATACAGGAATCAGCTCTGTGCCTTGGTGACCAGCTGTGATCTAAGCCTCCCTCACTTGGCTCTGAGCCCTTCTTCCCTGAACAACCTTCTGATTTTTCATTTTGTTTCCTGGTAGATTTTGTACAGAGGAGGGACTGGACCGACCAACCAACAAGGATGTTTTGTGCCATTTAGCACAACTCTCATTCTAAGTTATTAAATGTGTGGTCTGAATCATCTGATAGTCCTTGGTGAATCTCCTTAGCATATTGTCCTTCTTGCCCGTCCTCAGCTCTTGGTACAGTAATAAAACTGAGTTGCTGGTGTACTTTTTTTTTTTTTTGAGTTGGAGTCTCACTCTGTTGCTCGGGCTGGAGTGCCCTGGCATATTCGCAGCCTCCCCAGCCTCGACTTGCTGGGCTCCGGCGATCCTTCCTTCTCAGCCTTCCAAGTAGCTGAAACTACAGGTGTGCACTACCACGCCCAGCTAATTTTTGATTTATTGTAGAGACAAGGTCTTACCAAGTTGCCCTGGCTGGTCTCGAACCTGCGGCCTCCCAAAGTGCTGGGATTATAGGCTGAGCCATTGAGCCTGGCCTGGTGTACTTCTTAAAATATCTTCTAGTGCTGTTAGTAAAATAGTTTTGTTTTGCTCCTTGGTTAGGTTTTTTTCAAAGGTATGTTTATTGGTTACATTTTTAAAAATGTTTCTTATTAACTCCTTATTAGATTAACTGTACTGGTTATGTTTTTGTCAAAGTACCAGCTCTTGGATTTGTGAATTCTACTTCTTGTTTTCCAAGACATTTTTTTTCCTGCTTGTAATATTATATTTTTCTTCCTGTTTTCCTTGGGACATTAGATACGGTGGCACACAAATTTCTCTGAGGTAGTGACATATGATCTGAGGCCTGAAGGAGCCATCCCTGTGAAGAAAATCTGGGAAAAGGATATTTTAAGCCAGAAGAACAGAATGCACTGAGGTCCTGAGCAGGAACAAGCTTAGTTTGAGTGAAGAGTAGAGTGGGCAAGGGAAGAGTGGTAGAAGGTGAGGTGAGAGATGGAAGCACAGCCAAGCCCTGAAAGCCCAGGGGCTCCAGTAAGGTCGAGGACTTTATTCTCAGGACTAAGGTCATGTAGCTGGTGAATGGTAGAGCTAGAATTCAAACAACTTGTTGACTACTAAAGCCTAATTGCTCTCCATTCTTCTGGGATGTTGATGTCCACCTGAGGGTCACCTGAGTGGATTTAGAAAGCACCCAGCCCATGCCTGGCACATAGTAGACATGCAAGCTGTGTCCCCTTCATCTTGGTTTTCCTGTAAAGATCCCTGTCCTGTTTCCTAAATGTGCGGTCCTGATACATGGTCGTTATTGATTTGTCAGTATAAAGTGTTCCTAAGTAATGTTGTTTGCCTATTAATTCACTTTCATATTAACATGACAACACCCACTTTCTATTGATTCTGTTGATCTATATGTCTTTACTCATAGTTTTAGCCTTTTGGTGTCAATTGATCCTGAGTCCTTGGTCCTAGCCCCAGCTTTAAATGTTATTATGACCTTCACATTTGTTTTTTTGTTCTGTTTTGTTTTTTGAGTCAGAGTCACTCTGACACCCAGGCTGGAGTGCAGTGGCACGCTCATGGCCACCGGAGCCTCAATCTGCTG